CGTCCAGCAGCTTAATGGCCGTTGCGGTCGCCGCCTCGGAGCTGTCTTTTCTTAGCGTCTCCACGGAAACCATGACACGATGCACGCGACGCATCTTTCGCTCGCATGCACCCACAGCCATCCCGGGCGTACCTTTGACAGCGAACCGGGAATATGCGGTGATGAAGCTGGAATTCTTGTCCTTCTTCTTATACCGGTCGAACTCTGCAAAGACTTCGCGCAGTGATCGGCCGCCCATGATGAGGCTTGGCTGCACCCACACTTTCCAGGCAGCAGCAACAGTGGTGGCTTCGCGCCAAGACACAACGACCACGACGAAGAATTCTTGGACGGCAACTGGTGCTTTGGATGCGTCCGTTGCCTGGTTTCCTCCTGTTCCCGCGCTCTTCGACGATCCGTCGATCTCTGCAGAGGTGTTTGCCGCGTCATCCCTGGCCGCAACAAACCTCTTGTATGCTTCGAACTCTGCAATGACCCGAGCCTTGTCCTCTCGCTCAGCAGCGAGTTTCTCCCTCAGTTCAGCGTTCTCCATCGCCAACTGCATTTCACGTCCTCTCAAAATCCCAAGCTCCTCCCTGAGCATATTGGCGGTGAGGTGCATCTTATGCAGCTTCTCTTCTGCGGTCGTGCGAAAGATAGCGTCCTGCAGAAACCAGCACGGCAGAACTCAGCATGAACGAATAACTCCTCTCTACCACTAATAGCAGGCACTTACTGCTTTGGCGGTGGTTTGGCCGGTTGCCCGAAGCTTCTCGCCCTGGAAGTGAGAGATAGCGACCAGGTACGCCCACTTTTGGAACAGCGGGTGGTTGCACAAGGGGCTCATCTGCACATATGGATGCCTCTCGCAATTGCACCGCGGGTTTCTCACGCCGTGCTGATGGCAGAACGCCCACATCATAGCCAGATCCTGTGCAACAACGAGGCGTCCGATGCTGGCGAGGGTGTCTAGGAACCTCGCCCCCGCATAGTGCCTCTTCAGCGGATCGGTCTGCGCAGCGTTCCATTCTTCGACCTGACGGGACGAGTATGCAGGAGAAATGGGACGGTTCATCATTGCGTATCAAAATTAAGCTACGAACGCGAAGACTGTACACTAGCATGTACCTTCTTCCAACCCTCTTCGACCCAGGGGAAAATGTGAAGCCTCAAGAGATCCAAGAGCTGCAACCACTCATCCTTCTCCTTAACCTTATGCCGCGGAAGCTTGGCGCGGGCTCTGCCGATGTAGTAGTCTCCACGATCCCCGCTGAATCCTGCCAGCAGCCAAACCGGCTTGAACGGTATGCCGAACACATAACACCTCCGCAACTCCCCCTGCGCCCATCCGCCCAGAGTGCCGATATCGTTGTCGGAGCAACCGTCGTCATGGAGTTGTTGCGCTCCGGATCTGCGGAATGCATGTGTTACCTTGCTCAGAATCCATCTCGCCTTCGTCATGGCCCACTTAATCCAGGTGTTATGCGTTTTGTAGTGCATCTCGTCTTGCTTCTGCTCTCCCTGGCCGCCCTTCTTCAAAGAAAAGAAGAGGTGCGCTTTCGTCCACAAGATCGGTTCAGAAAAGTCGAGAGGCTCGACGATACCGGGGCCGTAGCGCAGAGGAACGAGGTCGTAGATGAAATAAAGCCACAGGAACACATGGCCCATTCCGCAGAGCCGCCAGTCCCTATGCCTTGCAAGAAACTGATGATTCAGCTTGTTGTTGGGGTTGGTCTTCGACTTCCTGGAAACAACGACGAGTACGAAAACGTCCAGATAGTCGTCGAGGTGTGATGTGCTCCGCGTCATGCGGACAAAGAGGTTCCCAAGTCGAATCTTTCGAATGCTGCACCCTCTTCCGAGAAATTGGTGTCCGAGGTGCATCATAACCGGGACTTGCAGAGCCTTCCAGAGAGGAAGCGAGATTTGTGACGGAGGCGTCCGCCACCAGATCTCTAGGAGCTCTTTTCGCAGAACAGTAAGATGCAGCGTCCTATACTGGCTTCCCGTATAGCAATCACCAATTGATCCACGTGTTTGATCTCGACCATCCCTGCATAGAATAGCACAGTAATTAGGTAAAGCATGTAGAACAACATTCACACAAACAGAAAGCACCCGTATACGTTACTCACGCGACTTGCTCGTCGTTCAGATCCTTCAGCTTCACTTTGAAAAAATCCCGAGCATCCTTGATCCAGTCCTTGGTCAGTGTGATGGAGAAGCCGTAGAGCCTCGCCTCGCACCTGGCAAGGCATCCCATTGCGTTCATCTTTGCCTTGATCATTGAAGCCGTGCACCCCTTTGCCTCCTTCCCCACATATTTCTCGACGTCTGGCCGCATTTTTCCACGCAAAAACTTTGCCTGCTCGTCAGTTTCGCAGAAGAGATACTCGATGTATCGGCCGAGCCTCCATTCCGTGATTCGCGGCCCGTGCAGATGAATCTGCCACTCGTCAGAGCTGCACGACCACCCATCGTTTCCCAAGTTATTGCTCATATGAAACCCAACCTCGTCATGCAGAGAGGGAGCAAGGCTATCTGCCACAGGGACATCTACCATAGTTGCCATGAAGATGATCACCCACCACTTGAAGTGTAGAAAGTGGAAACAATAGTGCCTTCTCGTCCCGGCCTCTATCAGTCGAAGCGGGATTGTTGAACGCCGGATCCTGCTCTCCTTTTCCGCAACGTCGGTCTGCCGCTGCGCATTTCCGGGGGCCACAGCCTGCTCGACATGGCTCGTAGAATCGGGAGGTCGTCGTCGTCCCGGCGATGATTCTCCCTCCTCTTCTGCGTCAGAGTGATCTCCATCCTCCTCGTACCGTTCTTCGGGTGCACCGGGTCGTGGGCGCACTCCATCGCCTCCCGGCCCTTCACTCTCTTCTTCACTCCCCTGGACTTGAATCCGGACGGATGGTTCGTAGATACCACCCTGAAACAAATCCTCCTCGGTCGCCTCAAACTCGCTATCGTTCTCGCGATCCTGTGCGTAGTCTGGGTCAGTATTTTCAACGTCCTCTAGGTCTATTTCTCCATCCTCTGCGCCCTGGGCTGCCATGGGGCGAGAGTGGACCGAGCTGTCGGCCATTCACAGATTCCTAATTTATTAGCTAGCAACCGAGACTAGACGAAAGAATCGGATGGTGACAGCCGCGGTAGGTGGTAACGATTCGCAAGTGTGCAGATAACATAGGCAGAATGCTTAGTGGGCTAAGCGCAGAAGGCGTAAGAGAGTCTGTGCTTCAGACGTCTACACATTGGTCGTCGAACACCGCCTACAACTTGCGTTTACATATATATCTGCGCCTACAACTTGCGTATACAGGGTCGCTTGACTGTCCCGTACCGTATAGCTCTGTCACACTTTGTTTTACCGCTTTAATTCTCTACAACGAAACAACGAAAATAAGTTCCTACCATTATACGGATATAATCATTTACGGAACCCTTATGCTTGTACATAACTTTCGTGGGTTCGACGATATTATGGATTGGGAGCGAATACCTTTACCGATAAAAGAAGCCTAACGTCGAAGATGTCCGCCTACAAGAGCGGACGACCTATGACAATTGTTCCGGGCAAATACAAACAGTTCTACCGACAAAATATTATACCACACACATCTGCGCCTACATATGCGACCTAACAAGTACGACTGCAGTTATCCTAACCGGGCTGACCCAAAAAAAAAACCCACTCTATACGACCTACGTCACTATGTCGAGGATCGCCAATGTTATGCCAGTGGGCCAAGCAGGCTTAAAAGATTACGCTGGTGGACTAACAGGTGCTGGAAGAAAAGATCTCAAAGAGCTTGCGGAACATGAAATGCAAATGAAAAGGAGCAAATGAGCACGAAAACATCTATTCATACCCATCCACCACACACAGAAGCCCGTGTCCAGATCTGGTCATCCAACCCTGGGCTGGATGATTCTCCCGCCAAAAAACAACAGTTGGGATATGGTCCTACTAGACGCTGATTGGCTCTTGCAGCCTTGGGACTCTGACAACAACTGTTGCCATGGCCACGTGTGCAGAACACCTACAGTTGGTAAACAATGACTATAAAACACAATGAGCAAACGTAGGATGCTACACTTGAACTCATGTTATTTATAAAACACATAACATCAAAGGTATAAAGGAACACACGTGCTGCAGCTTTAAGGTGGCAGCAAAAAAAAAACCGAGTTAAAGCATATAACGACGCAAGGAAGACCAGTTGGTCGCAACCGGCCATGCGACCGGCGGTCGTCACTTGTCGGCCAAAGAGTTACGATGGCGAAACATGTCATTCGCGACAAACATCACTGGCACAAAGGGTCAGGGCAGGTTGGTTGGAACACATTTTTCACGGTCAGGTGGGCGCTGAATTGTGGGCGGCTGGCCGTGTCGTATGCGGCGGAGCCTTGCGCCCAAGCCCTTCGGAATCCGGAACACACGGATCCAAGGCCTCGGATCATGGGGCAAACGCACTCGGAACTCCGCCACAACGTCGTAAGAGTCCCTGGTTATGACGCCAAAACTAGCAGTTGCCGCGAGAGGCGGCATCCCTGGCACAGCCATCGCTCATTTGCTCAACCACAGTTGTGGAGTGGCTCAGCCATCGCACGGGCTTGTCAACATCCAATGACGGAAACCAGTCGCATTGCACAGAACCGTGCTCAACCTTCCAAAACAACCTTCATGTTCCAAGACTTCTCCCTTCTCCGCCGACCTCCTGGGTTAGGTTATGGACCTTCTAAGTCGAATGAAAGGCCATTGATAATGGTTCTGTTCGATAGCAGGTTTCGAAGTCCACATTTCCCGAAGTGTCAGCTTACGCGAACTCAGTCTACATGTGCGGGGATTCTCTCTGTAAATAGTTATTTTTCTCACGACCGTTGAATGCGAGTGCATCCGTTGTTGTGATGACAGCTTCTTCTAAAAAATTGTGCACATTAGTATTAAAACAACACGAAATCGCGTAAGCTCTCGCGCAGTGTTCACGGTATCACGCGTAGTATATATCATGATGCGTCCTGCTATCTTCAGTTGCCGGAACATCCCGCTCGTGTCGCTTCTGTTGGTGCTGGCTCCGGTGATTTCGCCTCGGCAACAACAGCTCGTGCAAGCTATAAAGCTCGACATTCCTCTCGAGTTCTACCGCGGCGATGGTAAGTCACTCGACATTCCGCTTCCTGGTCAGGTTTTGGATATCTTAAAAGCGTACCACGCTTGCTCTCCATACGAGTTTTCAAGCTTCTCCGAAGCTTCATCTTGTCGTAGCGACACTTACCGGTTAGCTTGTATCGGGGACTATAGTCTGCGTACGTTTTGCCCTGTAGGGCAGTGCTGCTTCCCTTTCAGCCTGCTTCATCTCTTCTTCCTCCCATAGTTTCATCGTTCCTTCACACATCCTCCTTATCCGTCCTGTAACCCTTCCTTCCTCCTTTACTCCCTCCCTCGCTCCCTCCCTCCCTCTTTCCTCTCGTCCCTTATTTTCCTTCTTCTCACCCTTCCGTCCTCTTCGTTCCGCCTCATATTCCTTTCCTTCTTGGCTTCAACCCCCCACACCCCCTCTAACCTTCCCCCCCTCTTCCCCCCCCCAACCCCCCACCCTTCCTCCTCCCCCTCTTTCCCCCCTCTTTCCCCCCACCCCCCCCCTCCCACCCCCCGCCTTCCTTCATCAACTCAGTAACCTACTTGAACAATTTCGCAGCAGCCATACCAAACTTCCCGCCGTACGCGTGGGCTGCTGACGTGGCACCGCCATGCCCCACTGGCAACTGGATAGGCGTGACGTGCAATTCAGATAACTACGTGACTGACGTGTACGTCCGAGGAGTAGACTGTACGGGTCGGGTGATGCGAGCAGTGCCAATAAGGTGCAGTGCGAAACGTGTAATTTCGATCAACTACGTGATTGACGTGTACGTCTGAGGAGTTATACGGGTGGGGTGTGGCAAGCAGCGGGGATAAGGTGCGGTGACGTGCACTGCGGATAAGTACGTGGCTGACGTATACGTCAGAAGAATGAAGTGTACGGATGTGGGTTTGTGTGGGCAGTGCCGATTAAGTTGTGGTGACGTGAAGGTTCTAGTAATAGTGTATGGGTATATGGATAAGTACGTGGCTGACGTGTACATTTAATGTTCATGGATATGGTGTGGCATAGGCAGCCAGGCTCGCTGACATGTAACTCACTGATTCGTGAAGTGATTGGGAGCAGCTGTGTTGTTTCTGCCTGGTTGGGTCTGCTATAAGCGGGATAGAATCGCATGTGCCATGTTCTTGTACATACCATCTTTTCAAAGCGTTGTGTTGTGACTCATGCCGTTGGCTTGCGACTGTGAGGGTGGTGGTGTGGTTGAGGGTGTGGGTGTGGGTGTGGGTTTGGTTGTGTGGCTGTGTGTGCCTGTGCAGTGACCTAAGCGCAAGCAACGTGACTGGCAATTTCCCAAAGCTCAAGGGTCCCTTCTCGTTTGACATTGCTGCTGTCATATTTCTCAAGACCCTGTGAGTCCGATCCTCTAGGATCTGTGATTCAACTCTGTTTTCCCGCTTACTCGTTGGCAGTGGTACGACTCCCCCCTCCCCCCCCTCCCCCCCGCCAAAAGGCGTTTCCCCCCCGTTTCGAGCATTTCTCCTGCTTATCTTCCCACATCTCACTTTCCTTCCTTCCCCCACTTCCTCGACCCATATCTTCCACCCACCCACACACTCCCTTAATCTCCCTATCCCCACTCCCCTCCCCGCTGTCCCACTCCCTCACTCCCCACGCTCCTCTCCACTCCCCGCTCTGCGTGTTTCCCCATGTCACCTGCCACGGCCTTACCTGGAGCAGGAATCTTGCGGGCAACAAACTCCATGGCGCATTTGTGAGTCTCTGAGGCACCGTTTGGCACCGTTTGTTTCCGTTTTTGCGAGCTTGACACGTTGCTTCTCTTGTATCGCAATGCTGCATGCACGCATGCGTAGCGAGTTGGTTGGAAACAAACGTCATGGCCCATGTCACAAACGTCACTAGGGTAGGGCACCGTTTGGCTTCAAAGCACATGAGATCTTGAGGCTGCCCCTTTAGCTTAGGGTTGCTGCGCCTGTAGCATGGCTGCACCCAATCTCCCCCTGCGTCGCCTCGCTCAATGTGGACAAACAACAGCCTCACAGCAACTCTGAACTCCATGTGCACCCACTCCTGCCTGCACCCGATCCCCCCACACCAGCCCAGCGAGCTGGCCCTCTCACCCAGCCTCGCCGCCCTCAACGTGGCAAACAACAGCCTCACAGGGCGCCTGTCCGAGGACCTCTGCAACCTCAACCTCACCTGCGTGTGAGTGCAGTCTTGTTTTGGTCTGCTGTGAGTGTTGTCACCTGGGCAAGGTGGCATGTGAGTGGACGCAAACAACAGCCTCACAGGGCGCCTGTCCGAGGACCTCTGCAACCTCAACCTCACCTGCGTGTGAGTCACATGTTGCTTTATCCTGGCTGCTGCTGTTGCTTGCATTGCATGGAGCGCCTTAGACAAGTGAGGTGGCTTGTGAGTGAGTTGATCCAACAACAGCCTCACAGGGCGTCTGTCCGAACCGAAGACCTCTGTAACCTCAACCTCACCTGCGTGTGAGTGGTGATACCGTAATATGCTGCTGTCCTCCTGTTGCATTGCACCTGCTTGTTCAAGTAGTGCCTCAAGCGATTTACACCTCTTCCAACTTCCAAGTAGTGAGGTACGAACGACCAACTTCCACTTAAACACATGCACCCCTCTGTAGTAGAGCTTCTCGACTCGACCCACCAGTTCTGCTTCACCCCTCCTGTCCCTCACCCCTCTTCTGCTCTTCCTCCCACAACACCCCCCCTTCCCCAATAACCCCCTCAGCAACGTGATGGGCAACCCTCTCCGCGGGCCCATCCCCTCGTGCTGGAGGAACTTCACATGCCAAGAGTATGCGATACCTTGTCATGCCATGCCATGCCGTGCCGTGCCGTGCTGTGCCGTGCCGTCCGTGCTGTGCCATGCCGTGCCGTGCCATGCCATGGCATGCAATGAGTGCACGCACAGCACACATCCTTCAATCGAGGTTTTGGGCTGCACCTGCACTGCACCTGCACCTGCACCTGCACCTGCACTGCACCTGCACCTGCTGGTTTTTTGGAATTCTCAAAAACCACCTGCACCTGCACGTATTCATTGTGCGCAAGGTGCCCATCCAAGGAGTGCGAGGAGACTTTTGAGTCGACTCAAAATGCACCTCATTGTGCGCAAGATGCCCATCCAAGGAGTGCGCAATGCATGGATATAAGCTCTGTTCGTTCACACCCTGTTCACACCATGCCTATTCCAACCATTTTCTTACTCTGTCTCTTCGGCCCTGCAATATCTCTCCCCCATTCCCGCCTTCCTTCCCCTTCTTGCATCTCTTCCACCTCCCTCCCATTGTCTGTATGGCTGCAGCTTTGCCAACACCAGCCTGCTAGTCGTTCCCAACGCGTGAAATGAGCCGTGTTTTGAGTCGAATCAAAGTCAACTCGTCCCACCTCTCGTCCACCTCCCTCCCGTTGTCTGTATGGCTGCAGCTTTGCCAACACCAGCCTCCTAGTCGTTCCCAACGAAACATGCCGTGATGGTGAGTTTATAACGAATCTTGAGGTGATGATAAGCTTATGGCGAAACGTGCCGAGATGGTGAGCTTGTTAGCAAGTTGTGCCTGGAAGGTGAGTCTGCAACGAGAGAGAATGGTAAAGAGAGAATATTGTCTTGAATGGTGAGCTAGTAAAAAGACAGGCTTGGGTGGTTATCATCTCCCCTCTCCCTCTCCCTCTCCCTCTCCCTGTTTTCCCCTCTCTTCCTACGATCTGTTCCCTCCTTCCCCCAGTCCCCTACCACAGCTGCAACCCGCCTCTCGCAGTGGCCGTGGCACCCCCATCAGCTGCAGCCTCCTCTGTCAACGTCGTTGCCATCATTGCGGGTGTTGTGGGGGGTGCGGCATTCATTGCGCTGGTGGTTGCGGGGGCGATGGTGGTGATGAAGCACATTGAGAGGAAGCGCAGGGAGGAAGAGGAGAGGCGCCTGGAGCAGGATTTGGAGAGTGAGTGATGATGGGGGAAAGGGGTGTTTGATTGCAAGCAGTGGTTTAGGTTGGAATACTCAAAATCTCAAAAGTAAAATCACAAGCATACTGCCTGCTTACCTAGCTATGTAAATAAATTTTACTTTTGAGAATTCTCAAAAGTAAAATCACAAGCATGCTACCTGCTTACCTAGCCCCTTGAGCTGAATTGAACAAAGGGGTGCTGCGCTGCGTTCATCCACTCAAAAACTCTGAGACGGGTCTGATCTGATCATCCATTCTCCCCAGGGAGCTGACAAAGGCAACCAACGGGTCTGACCATCCAAAGTCCCTCCATCCTACCCATTGCCCTCACTCTCTTCCTCTCTCTCTCCTTCGCTCTCCCCCATCCTGTTCCCAACAGCCCAAATTTCGTCTCGCCACTTTGGAACTCAAAAGAAGTTCACCTCAGGGGAGCTCAAGAAGGCCACCAACAGGTTTGACTAGGACTATGTGCTGGGCGAGTGGGAGGGGGCGGGTCAGATGCACTAGGCCAGCTCCCCTCATCGCGTCTCCCCTCTTCCCCCATTCTCTCTCTCCCTCCTCTCTCCCCACTGTTCCCAACAGCCCAGATCTTATCCCGTCTCTTTGGCACTCTAAGGAGGTTCACCTCAGAGAAGCTTTAGAAGACCACCAACGCCCTTGATGATCCCTCTCCTCCCCTCTTTTAGCTTTCCCAAGCCCATCCATCTATCATCCCCCCTCTCTTGTTTGCGTCCCTGTTTCAGCCCAGATCTCATCTCGCCACTTCGGAACCCTGAGGCGCTTCACCTCAGAGGAGCTGAAGAAGGCCACCAACGGGTTTGACGAGGACTATGTGCTGGGCGAGGGCGGGTTCAGCAAGGTGTACAAGGGCAAGCTGGAGGACGGCAAGTTCGTGGCTATCAAGAGGATTAAGGTGAGTGAATGAGGTGGGGAACGGTGATGTGGGGTGACATGGGGTGATGAATGTGGGGAGCTGAAAAGTGCCACCAACGGGTTTGATGAGGACTATGTGCTGGGCGAGGGGGCTTCAGCAAGCTGATCAGCCGGGCTGTTCACCGCAACCTCATCCGAGCGGAGAGCTTTCGACTGAACAACTCCTTCCTCTCCTTGCTGCTCCACGCTTTCCCTCCCCGCAGGATGAGAAGAGGGCAGGTGGCGAGCTGCAGTTCCTGTCTGAGGTGGAGATGATCAGCCGAGCAATCCACCGCAATCTCATCCGTGCCGAGGGCTTTCAACCGACCAGCCCCTTCCTCTCCTTACTGCTCTATGCTCTCCCTACAGGATGAGAAACGCGCGGGTGGCGAGCTGCAGTTCCTGTCTGAGGTGGAGATGATCAGCCGGGCCGTGCACCGCAATCTCATCCGTGCCGAGGGCTTCTGTGTGGAGCGCGGCGAGTGCATGCTGGTGCTGCCCTTTTGCTCCAACGGATCTGTGGCGTCCCGCACGCAGGGTGAGATGCGGCTGGATTGGGTCTAGTGCGGTGCAGCTGGGTGGGCGGGCGGTTTTGGATGGAGAGGGAGCTTCTGTGTGGAGCGAGGCGAGTGCATGCTGGTGCTGCCCTTCTGCTCTAACGGATCTGTGGCGTCCTGCACTCAGGTTGAGTGAGGTGCAGTTGGGTAAGGTTGGGTTCATTGCTTTGCATCCCGCGCTGAGGGCGAGAGAGCCACAGCTGGCCTGGGGGCGTGGGCCACTGCCCTCCTCACTCACCACGGACTGACTGGCTCATGCTAGTGAAGGTGGTATGAGGAGCAGCGGCGAGGGTAGCGTCACCCAACCCAACCCCACCCCATTCCATCCCAGCCCTCCTCCCGGGTTTCTCACATGTCCTTGTTTTCTTGCTCTCCGTTTCATGCTCGCCAGGCAAGGAGGGTAACCCCATGGACTGGCCGACGCGCATGAAGGTGGCCCGGGGAGCAGCGGAAGGGATAGGCTATCTGCACACGGACTGCAAGCCAAAGCTGGTGCACCGCGATATCAAGGTACATGAGTTATGGGGGTGCATGGGTTTTCGGGTATGGTCTTGTGAGGCATGTGGCATGTGGCATGTGGCATGTGGCATGTGGCATGGGGGAGCAACGGAAGGGGTGGCGTATTGGCACACGGATTGCAAACCAAAGCTGGTGCACCGCGATATCAAGGTGGGTGTTAAAGCGGGGTGTACCCTCACAAAGCAGGGTAATGTTGCTGTATGGCTTCGTGAGGCACGTGGCACAGGGTGCAGCAGAGAGGCTGGCATCTTTGCGCACAAGTTGAGTCGATTTTTTAGTCGACTCAATAATAATGTTGTTGTGTGGCTTCGTGAGGCACGTGGCGTGGCACAGGGTGCAGCAGAGAGGCTGGCATCAGAGAGGCTGGCATCTTTGCGCACAGATTGCAAGTTGAAGCTGGCGCACCGCGATATCAAGGTACACACATGACTTATGGGGGCACATGGGTTATGGGGTGGGGTATGGCCTTGTGAAGCATGTGGCATGTGGCATGGGGGAGTAGAGGGATTAGCGTATCTGCACACGGACTGCAAGGTGATGCTGCTGCACGTGCATGAATTATAGCTTATGACCTTGTGACATGTGGCATGTGGCATGTAGCATGTAGCATGTAGCATGTGGCATGTAGCATGTAGCATGTAGCATGTAGCATGTAGCATGTAGCATGTGGCATGTAGCATGTAGCATGTGGCATGTGGCATGTGCATGGGGAAATGGAGGGGGTGGCATCTCTGGACACGGACTGCAAGCCAAGGAGATGGACGTGAATGAAACGCATGCATCCGCTGTTCTGCCCCTGCTCATCCCCTGTTCTGCCCCTGCTCATCCCCTGTTCTGCCCCTGCTCATCCCCTGTTCATCCCCTGTTCTGCCCCTGCTCATCCCCTGTTCTGCCCCTGCTCATCCCCTGTTCTGCCCCTGCTCATCCCCTGTTCATCTTGGTGAGTTGAGTCGATTTTTGAGTCGACTCAAAAATCTGTTCTGCCCCTGCTCATCTCCTGCTCATCCCCTGCTCATCCCCTGCTCATCCCCTGCTCATCCCCTGCTCATCCCCTGCTCATCCCCTGCTCATCCCCTGCTCATCCCCTGCTCATCCCCTGCTCATCCCCTGCTCATCCCCTGCTCATCCCCTGCTCATCCCCTGCTCATCTCCTGCCCATCCCCACCAGGCGGCCAATGTGCTGCTGGATGAGAACGACGAGGCAGTGATTGCGGATTTTGGGCTGGCCAAGGAGATGGACGTGAATGAGACGCATGCCACCACTGCTGTCAAGGGCACCATCGGACACATCGCCCCTGGTGCGTGCTGGATGGGTATAGGTGCGGTTCGAAAGGGTATAGATGTGTGTTGCGGTGTAACTGTAGGTGTCTTGAATGCCTTCATAGCATGCCAAGGAGATGGACGTGAATGAGACACATGCCACCACTGCTGTCAAGGGCACCATCGGACACATCGCCCCTGGTGCGTACTACGAGAGGGTATAGGCGTGTTTTGGATGAGTCTAGGTGTGTGTGGAACAGGTATAAGTGTTCTTTGAGGTGTAACTCAAGACGGGTACTGAATCCCTGTGACGCCTGCCAAGTGTGTTTTGAGTCGACTCAAAACACACCTGAATCCCTGTGACGCCTGCCAAGGAGATGGTCGAGGCGGTATTATTAGTGGATCCGGGAATGAAGCGCATGCCACCACTGCAGTCAAGGGCACCATTGCCCACATTGCCCCTGGTGCGTGCTAGAAGCAGTTACCCTGCAGCTTGAACTGTGCAGGTACACCCCCTCCTTTCTACCAGAGTACTTAGTGAGCAGAGGATGTATTAGCTCTAAATAAACGTCTCCTTCCCAGTGCTAATGCCTCCTCTGCTTCTACCCTCCCTCACCCGCCCTCCTCCCTAACCATCCCCCCAGAGTACTTTGTGAGCGGGCAGTGCTCAGAGAAGACGGACGTGTATGCGTTCGGGGTGTTCCTGCTGGAGCTCGTGTGAGTAGGCAGTGCTCGGTTCGGTTATTCTCTCCTCAGCCCAATGTTCTCTCCCCTCGCCACCTCACCCCACCTCCTTCCCCTCCCAGAGTACTTTGTGAGCGGGCAGTGCTCAGAGAAGACGGACGTGTATGCCTTTGGGGTGTTCCTCCTGGAGCTCGTATCGGGCAAGGACGTGTACGGATTGACTGTCGTGCCCGAGGCTGAGGAGATTCTACTGAGGGACTGGGTGAGTGGGTTGGGCTTGGTGTGCTGTGATGGGTGTGCTTCACTCTCCTCCCGTCTCTCTTCCTGCTGGAGCTCGTGTCGGGCAAGGACGTGTATGGGCTGGGCTCGCTGTCGTACCTGAGGCAGAGGAGATTCTTCTCAGGGACTGGGTGAGTGGCGTTCGCACGGAGTAAGCCCCCTTCTGCTGTGATGGGTGTGCTCAGCTCTCCCCCTCCCTGGGCAAGGACGTGTACGGACTAACTGTCGTGCCCGAAGCTGAAGAGATTCTTCTCAGGGATTGGGTGAGTGGGTTGAGCTCGGTGTAATCCCCCTGCTGTGCTGTCATGGTATGCTCGACTCCCCCCCCTCCCTCGTGTCGGGCAAGGGCGTGTACGGACGGGCTCACGGTTGTGCCTGAGGCTGAAGTGATTCTTCTCAGAGAGTGGGTGAGTCAGCCTAAGCCCTTCTTCCTGTCATGGGTGTTCTCGTCTCTCCCTCTCCCTGCTCGACCTCGTGTCGGGCAAGGACATGTACGGCCTCTGGGTCGTTCCCGAGGCAGAGGAGATTCTTCTGAGTAGACTGGGTGAGTGGGTTCATCACCGGTTTAACCCCCTATTCCTGTGATCGTGTGGTGTGCTCCGCTCTCTCTCTCTTCCTGCTCGACCCTCGTGTCGGCAAAGGTTGGTGAGTCCTTCGCAAAGGACATGTACCGCCTCTATTGGTGTGACTTTTGAGAGTTCTCAAAAGTCACACCAAAGGACATGTACCGCCTCGGCGTCGTTCCCAAATCCGAGGCTGATGACACACCTCTCCCCTGGGGCCTCCCTCCTGCAGGTGTCGCGGCTGCTGGTGGAGGGGAAGGCAGATGTGCTTGTAGACCCAGAGGTGAAGAAAGCCGAGGGGGCAGTGGACATGGGGCAGGTGGAGAAGATGCTCCAGGTGGCGCTGCTGTGCCTCAAGAACGACCCGGCTGGGCGACCCACGATGGAGGACGTGGCTAAGATGGTGGCTGGGAGTGAGCTCACAGAGAAGTGGCAGCAGTGGCAGGTGAGGGGTGTGGGGTGAGGGCTGTTGGAGGTGTGTTGTGGAAAGAGGGGGCAGTGTGCGAGGGATTGGGAGGAATGACTTGGCTGAACGGCCCACGATGGAGGATGTGGCTAAGATGGTGGCTGGGAGTAAGCTTGCAAAGAAGTGGCAGCAGTGGCAGGTACGTGGGCATAGTAACTCGCATTCAGCCACATGCATGCACTCAATGCTTCAAAGGGTGAATGTAACGTGCTTCTTTGGTGCTTGGCTCACGCCTCTCCATATATTTTTAAGTGCATTTCTTTCTGCTGCTCCTGAACTCCTGTTTATCTGCATCAAAATGTTTTTCAGGCTGAAGCTGGGGCCATGAGAGCAGAGGACCTCATGGCTGTTGTCAAGAACCCTTCGCTCTGGGAGAACACAACAACTGGAATCTCGCTCGAAGCCTTCAATGTTACTGGGCCCCGTTGAGAGTTCCACCTTTTCTAGTGGGTGTCAGAGGGAGCTAATTATTTTAGTTTTATTATGACAGGTCATTTTGTTGTGTATGTATCACCTTGTCTGCAAAGCATCAGGCTTTCAAGAGTATTTAATGCAAGTGTGAGATGATAAGTTCATCATATCAAATATTTTTAATCTTCTCTGATGAAGTTAAGGGGTTCTGTACGTTTTTTAAATGGTTGAATCCAAACATCTCTTCAGGGATATTTTTGGCAGCTGACGTGGACTACGCCCCAGTCCACGGCCTTTATCGGCTCCTCGAACTCGGACATCCGACTCAGCAGTGCATTTCCGCTCCCGAGCCGGGTCGCGCTAGCCACTGGTGTACACATGATGCCCAGCCACTGTGCGCGAATTCGCCTTTCTCATTTCAGAAACTCTGCACATGTGTTTTTTTTTCCCAGTCAGTTGCACCCAGGTTATAGGCGCGCGGATCAACTTGCATTTGGGCGAGAAAACGCCAGGCGCAAAACAAACCATGCTGACCCGGTTTGTTCTTGTTTCTTGGCCAGAAACAAGCATAAACCCGAAACCCTGAACTAACAACAGCACAGGCCCACCAGAAGTGTTTTGGAAAAAAACAAATGAGTTACAGCCTGTGTTTTTTAGAAGCACCTCAACACCCTGGCAAATGGAACGAGCTGGGCGAAATGTCTAAACAGTTTATAAGCCCAGAGCACAACGCGAGTAGGGGAGACTCAAACGGACATCAGGTAGAAACGAAGGTGTCGCACATGCAGTGAGTGGCTGCATATGAACTGTGTGACCAGCTGACGACTGCGATCTTTTTCACGAGTTTGGTGGGATTGCTTGCTCGCCCATACCTGTGTGCCCCTTATGTTTCTTCCAAACCACACCCGAACCAAACCTTGTCAAAATGCAGTTTCCGCCCCGTCATCACAATTATGCGCCTTCGGTCAGCCAGGACAACAGCAATGTCCGCGTCTATTGGTGCAATTGACCTTCACCTTCAAAAATTTGTTTTCACTCGTGACTTGTCCCCCTTCATCAGTTGCCGTCGCCGACGCAACATCCTGCCAGGGAGGCGCAGGCCCCCAGCGCAGACTGGCTCTCCGCTCAACCCTTGCTCGCCCATACCTGTGTGTGTGTGTCATCCATGCAAGCAGCGCGGAGGCCCTTCCGCCAGTTCACTCCCATTTCCTCCCTACCTGCCCGCAATCTACCCCAAACCAAGGTTCCAGCCCAGGGTAAAAAGCTGCGGTCACCAAGGCTCCAACGAAGCTGCGGTTTGGTGGGATCAGCTTTTTCCTCTTTGGCCTCGATTCTACCTCCTGACACAAGATAGCGCCATGGCGGAGGTGCTGCGCTGCTGATTACTTCGTTCTTATAAGCCCGATGGCTGTTTGTGCTGATTGATTTCATCCACAGGGTCTCGCGAGGCTGGAATCGTTGCCTGCAACGAACGCGTTCGGGTTGTTTAGCGCAGATCACGCGTTGGTCGTAGTCAACAGCCCGCTGGCTGAGCCAACCTAGAAATATCAACGAGAGCCTCTGAGGCATCGTTCAGGTTTATCAGAGTCAGGTTTTGCTTACGTTTAGTAACAGCTATGGAAGAAGCTACTGAATCTTGTGTCCCGCACCATCACGAGGGTTGCTGCTCACACAGCAACATGTGGGATCGTGTCAAGAAGCGGTATAAGCTGTGTGATTTTAGTGCCCTTCCTGACTACCTTCGAGACAACGAGTACATTCATGGATACTACCGCGCAAACTGGCCTCTCAAACACACGCTATGGAGCATCTTTCATATTCATAACGAGACTGGAAATATCTGGACGTAAGTCATAGCCGACCGTCGCTATGTTTCTCGTGTCTCATGTGCTACAATAGTGTAGAGAGTCTCGCGCGTGATAGTGTCCTTCTTTTCATCCTCGACTTCGGAGTGCTGAGTTTCAGGGAGATCTTGTGCTAACTAGCTCTGGCTGGTTGCTTGCAGGCATCTTATAGGATTCATCCTATTCCTGAACCTGACCATCTACACGGCCCAGAAGTTCCCGAAGGTGGTTGAAATCCCACTCTCCCACCTCCATTTTCCTGAATCATGGGTCAACGCCACTGACAGCATCCATGCACATCTTCAGCACATGGAACTTCCGGATTTCCGTCCCATCAGGGACGCGCTTACCTCCATGGAGTTTCCGAATCTCAATGCCATGTACAACTCCCTCCCACACGTCGAGCTCTCAGGAATGTCCGGAATATCTGGGATTTCGGGAATTTCGACTTCCATTTACGAGGCCATGCCGCACGTTCCTAACATGCACGAGATGCAGACCATGCTCTCAGCAGTCATGAAGTCCAAGCTACCAGACCTGGACACCACTAAGCTTCAGGCGATGCTTCCTCACGTGGAGCTCCCAAGGCTGCAGCAGGTTCAGGCTGCTCTGCTGTGGTACTACGGCTGTGTCCATCGCTACGCCAGCACGGCCTTGGAATCCACACCGGCGTTTCCCACCAGTCCGCTGTGGAACGATCAGAGCGTCTTTGGAAACTGCGTAAGTGTCTACTCCCTTGTGACCTCTCTGTGACCGACGTCTCATTCGTGCTAGCTTTTGTGCGTTTCCGTCCTTACCAGCTGGTTCTGGGAAGAAATTGTCTTACGGCCCAAGTTCATGCCTGCCCCCTTCAGTTTGCTATCCTTTTCCTCCGTTCTGCTTCCTTCATGTCCCAAACCTGCCTCAAACATGCCTCTTGGTCACTCCGTCTGCTTCAAACCCCCTCATTTACATTTTCCACTGATCCCCTGCCTACCCCAACCCCCGTCCCGGCACCCCCTTCCCTCTTCTTCCCGGATTCCCCCCCCCCCCTCCCCCCCCCCCCCCGCACACACTCACTCTTCCACTCTCCCTTCCTGTAATCCCGTAAACACTTCTGCAGTCACTTTCGGACAGCCCTTCGTTTTTGCTAAGATCAATCAAAACTGAGCGCAAGATTGCCATGTGGCCGTTCTTCGTCTTCCTAACCGGCGCCATGATCTGCCTGCTCTCCAGCAGCACCTGCCACCTCCTGGGCTGCCATTCCAAGAAGGTCTCCCAGATCATTTGGCGGTTTGACTATGCGGGAATTGCCATCCTCATCTGCGCATCCTTCTACCCGCCAGTCTACTACGGCTTCCTCTGCCACCCATACGCCCGGCTCACCTACCTCGTCCTGATCACCCTCGGTGGTTTGGGAACTGTAGCTGCCTCTCTTCTCCCTGCCTTTCAACAACCTAAGTACCGAGCCTTTCGTGCAGGGCTGTTCTTTGGACTGGGAGTCTCTGGTGTGGTTCCATTTTTCCATGGCATGCTGCTCTACCACCATGAGCCGTTTTTGGTGACAACTCTTCTGTATGAGCTGCTTATGGGGGCGTTGTACGGCATTGGAGCTCTCTTTTATGCCACCAGGATTCCCGAGCGATGGCTGCCTGGGAAGTTTGACATAGCGGGACACAGCCATCAGATTTTCCATGTTCTTGTTATTGCTGGGGCGTACACGCACTATCAGGCTGCCCTAAGATATCTGCAATGGGTGGATGGTCGCATGTGCTGAAGTGTGCTTGCAGGGACTGCAAGGTTTGCTGTGCCCTACCATGTTACTTTGGTTACATCCATTGCTGCTGTCATTGTCACAGTTTGCAGGTCTGTGCTGCTCTTGGTGTAGCGATCTTGGGACCTCCCTTCGCGCAAGGGTTGACAAACTACTGTAATATTGCATAGTGGGGAGTTCATGCATGCCTGTACTGTTCTGTACATTGTTGTATACCTACGAAGCAAGGCTTCCTTTGCATAGGTACCTATGTAGACTGCTCACATGGCAGTTGCTTGTGCTCTTGCCAACTACAATAAATGTCATGTAGCATCCCCGAAATAAGAGTCTACTTCTGATGAACGCCCGTATACCTCTCTTATTCTGAGTATATCAGTTGAGAAGGTGGACTTGGGTGTACCAATGAAGTATTGCGCTCTTGCACATATGTGCTTCTCGGCGAGAGCCCTGAGGATACCTTGGTCTTCCTCATCCAAGTTTTCGAAATCACGCACCCAGTCATACTCGTCGTACTCCAACGAGCCCTTAGTGAATTCAGGAAGGCGCTCAACAACAAAGGGAGCCTTCGAGTCCAACTCTGCATAGAAACAGGCATAGAGGTGTCACCGCCATGCAACAATGAATGAACAGCGTCGATGCGAATCATGATCCAAGAACGTCAAGAAAACAAAAATCTATTGCACCATCAATCCCTGTAAGCACTCACCCAGTAGCAGCTTCTCCAGGAATTGCACTTCGGTCAGGCTTGCATCAGTGGCTAGGTACAGAATACTGATGCCACGGCCGCTGAAACGCGACACAATGTAGCGTGCAATAGACGCGATCGGCAGAAAAGCCGGGTCTCTGCTCTGCTGCTTTCCCTTCTCCTCATTCCTCAAATAAGCATGCGAAAAATCCCCTCTCCTCATATGCACAGCCGCATAGTCATCTCCCAGGAAAGTATCAACAAACCCCGAAACAAACCTCCGAACCACTGGAGGCGGCTCCCAGAGGTCCAGGCACGAGGTTTGGAATGGAGGCTTGGTTGCATGCAGCATCTGCCCGGCCCTGCCGTACAACGAGAAGCCGTAGATGTTCCCAAGGCTGAGCACGCGAGCGTTGGCGAAGGGAGCACAGGCAGAAAGCAACTCGGCGAGGCCCCCAGGGGGAAGGGACTCCAAAGGGTGCTCTAGTTTGTCAGGCAATGTGACGTTGGGAAGCTGGGCGAAGGACTGGTGGCATATGCGGGAGACAGGGGACATGGAGTGAGTGTGAGAGAGGCAATAGGTGCATTTGTTTGAGGCAACAGAAATATGGGTGTACTCACCAGTTGAGTATTATCCATGCAGGACCTCCCGTTTACACAAGCAATGTGGTCTACAGTCACATTTTGCTTCGTCCTCGATACAAGCTCCTCCACTGTAAGCACGGTGTTGTTCCCG